GCCAAAATTTTATAAGGCCCGTAATATCGAACTCCGAGCTTGGTCGCGGCCCTTTGCGCTGCCGTCCTTTGCCGAAACGGCCTCAACTTCAAATACACCCAATCCCCGGGCCCGAACTCCACGTCACGCCGCTTGCCATCATGGTACGCCTTCATCCTATTGATCGAACCTTCCAACGTCCGCTTTAGCTCGCGCAACATTAACTCGCGCTCGACCAACTCTCGATCGACCTCATCGTTCACGGCGCTCCCCATCGAGTAACTCACGATCGTCGGCGGATTGCGCCCGTACACCAACTCGAACGGCGTTTCCTTAGTCGAGCTATGGTAAGTGGTGTTATACCAATACTCGGCCCAAGGTAAATAATTCTCCCATCGCTTTGGAAATTGATGCACATAGCACCTAAGGTACTGCTCGAGCGTGCGATTGGTCACCTTTGTCTGTCCGTCGGTTTGTGGATGATAAGATGAGCTCATGCTTAGCTCGGTTCCCTGCAACTTAAAGAACTCCGACCAGAAACTACTCATAAATATCCGATCTCGGTCGGAAACAATTGACCGTGGCACCCCATGCAATTTCATCACATATTCAACAAATAATTTTGCTATAGACTTAGCCGTGTAGGGATGAGTAAGTGGAACAAAATGTGCATACTTGGTAAGACGGTCGACTACCACCATGACTCCATTAAACCCATTCGAGAGTGGCAACCCCTCGATAAAATCCATGGTGATGTCCTCCCAAATACGTGTGGGGACCGGCAATGGTTGAAGCTGTCCGCCCGGTCGACGTGCGTCTGCCTTAGTGCGCTGGCACTCATCACATCGCCCAACGTAGTCGCGCACATCGCCCCTCAGTCCTGGCCAATAAAAAGTGCTCGCAATCCTCATCCATATCCGGAACACCCCGGAATGTCCTCCAAACTTTGAGTCGTGGAAGTGCCGGATGATGTCCTCGCGCAACGATCCCGCCTTGGGCACGACGACTCGCCCATGATAAAGAAGCAAGCCATCGTGCATGTCATGGTCCTCGTCCTTGTCGCGTCCCTCGTTCAGTTTCTTGACCACGTCCTGACAATGCGCATCCTCGTCTTGCGCCTTCTGAAGCTCTGTCCAAACGGCCCACGTCGGCCCCGTAACTGCGTCGAGCTCGGCCACGTCTTCCTGGCGAGACAATGCGTCTGCCACGGTGTTCTGGTGACCGGGCCGATACACTATCTCGAAGTCGAATCCCATCAACTTGGACACGAACTTTTGCTGCTCGGGCGTAACGATCCTTTGCTCGAGCAAGTTCTTGAGTGGCTGTTGGTCCGTGACAATCCGAAAGCGTCGCCCAAGCAAGTACGGCCTCCATACGCGCACGGCCTCGACCACGGCTAGCATCTCTTTTACGTATGCGGACAACCCTAAACGCGCCGGCCCGAGAGCCTTGCTGAGATAAGCCATGGGTCGTCCTTCCTGTACTAGAACTGCTCCGATTCCAATGTCGCTCGCATCCGAGTGAATCTCGAACAACACATCAAACCTCGGCATCGCGAGCACGGGTGTGGTCGTCATGGCCTTTTTTAGTTCCTCGAAAGCCTTTTCGCTCGCCTCCGTCCACTTGAATGCTCCCTTCTTCGTCATCTCCGTAAGTGGCTTTGCGATGGTCCCATAGTCCTTCACGAATTTTCGATAATAGCCCGTGAGACCAAGGAACCCTCGCAACTGCGTCAAGCTCGTGGGTTTCGGCCATCCCACCATCTCTTCGATTTTCCTTGGATACACCTTAACGTCATCATGAGAAATAAAGTGCCCGAGGTACTCGACCACTTCCTGAGCAAACGAGCACTTGGACGGTTTGATGTAGAATGAGTTAACCTCCAAAATCCCCAAGACAATTCGCAAGTGCTCGAGATGATCTGCCCATGATTTCGAGTATACCAAAATGTCATCAAAAAATACTAATACAAACTTACGTAGGTACCTCTTAAAAATCGAGTTCTTGGCAAACTGAAAGGTCGACGGTGCATTGCACAACCCGAAAGGCATCACGAGATATTCGTAGTGCCCTTGGTGCGTGCGAAAAGCCGTCTTGGGCACGTCCTCCTTGGCCAGCCTGATCTGATGGTAGCCCGCGCGTAGGTGGAGCTTGGAGAAGTAT